GTTTCAAATTACGAATACGCGCTGCTAGAGCACCTGCCGCAGAAGATGTCTGCATCATTTGCGTCTATGACGCCACCGTCAGTGGCGGATGGTATTCCCCTAAGCCAATGGTGAGTGTTAAGGTCTTCGAGGGGAAGGATGGAGAGAATCTCCTGCTCTGGGTGAGAGAGGTCGAGATGGCCATCGCATCTGCCTTGCTCCAGACTGAGCAACAGCGCGTAGCGCTAGCCATCTCAAAGCTCGGTGGTCGAGCGCGAGAAAGGGCACTGACGTGCGGCACTTCGGTCGAAGCTGCGTTTTCCTCCTGGGCGGAGCTGAAATTGCAGCTCTCGCGAGTGTTCTCGCCGCCCAATCAGGCATATCGCGTACGATTGCGTTTCCTTGCCCGACAGGGCAACAAGGACTTGGTGGACTTTGTCCAAGAGATGCGCACTCTCATTGCCGGGATGGCAGCAGATCCCCTTCCGGTGGCGGTCACAGCGACCGTCTTCCGGGTGCATTTGAAGAGGCGGTGAATGTGGCATTGAATGCCGAATTCAATTCCAAGTCGGCACGACTTGGTTGGAATGCACACACCAACAGCTCGTCGAGCGGACCTATGCCCATGGATCTCAGCTTTGCTGAGGACGAGGAAGCAGATCTCCGAGCTGCCGGGCAGCACACAGACACACGACGGTGTTTTGTTTGTAGAGGCACCCGTCATCCTCCGAACGGTTGCCCCCTGCGCAAGGCGCGTCAAGGTTCTTCGAACCATCGCCCCAATTCCTACCAGTCTGGTTCATTGCGGTGAAACGACACCACTCAGTAGTCGCGGGTCGACCTACTGGGAAAGAAATGAGTTATGTTGAGCCTCAGGGAGGTATAGGTCAACAGGGCCCAGCCCCGAAGGGCTCCGTGCTCTTGAACACGGAACGTGTGTGCAAGCCGGGCTTGCTGGTCGTGGAAGCGACCGTAAAGGGCTTCGAGAAGCCATGAAAGATCCTCATCGATTCCGGGACGTCGGGCAATTATGCTCGACGCTTCACGATGAAAGGAAGTCAGTTGTATGCTGAGGCGCTGAAAGCGCGGATGGGTGACATCGTCACTGTTTGCTTAGCGACGGGGACACGTGTCACGGTACCGAAGGTCCCTGTGGACCTCGGAGTCAAGTTTCTTGACTTTGATTGCGTGGAACGCTGTCTAGTATTAGACTTGAACGCAAGGTATGACCTCATCTTAGGAATGGCATGGTTGGAACACTATGAGACATGGATTGATTGGAGGTCAAAGACCTTGGGCGCTACGCGCACGTCTCCTGGTGAAGCT